AGTGCCCAGAGTAGTTCAATGAGTTCTTTTCATTAACACGTTGACGACATCGCATGTTTTGGCATTTTGCACCTCGTGGGACAGGAGCGATTTTGCGACCGCGCCGTCCTCACCTTACTTCCGCTTATTTTTTGTTAAAAATGCACAATAACTAGAATTTCATAGGACTATTTCGGCACAAGGATGAACGTATAAAGGTTAACTGTATAAGTAGCAGTAGGTTTTTGTTTAGAAGAGTGCATAATGACCACGAAGAAGTAAAAAAACACGCTTTCGCTGCGAATGAAATTAAAAGCATTTGTATCTAAGTATTTCCATCACATGCAAATATATTGAAACTCACAGAGTTTTGTATTAACTAATTCTACAATCTTTCATATAAATGTTAACGACAGTGAAAGGAATACTAGGAAAGAATTGAAATGAAAGTTTTGTGCGTTCGGAAAATTTTGCTAAATCATAGGATACTTGACCACTCTGGCTGCCAGGCGGTTTATAGTTATGCTAATGTATTATCTATAGAATGAATACAAGAAACCCGAGAAGAAGGAGCGCAAGCACGATAAAAATGAATAACACAGACTTGACGCGCTTGCGCGTCAGGATGTCCGATGCGGTGCGAAATTCTTGACGCGCATGCGCGTCAGCTTGTCGTCAACGTGTTAAAAATGGTTAGCCTATAAGAACCGATATACGAGTAATACTACAGCTCAGCAATTTAATATATGCTTCAAAAAAGAAAATAAAACAAATCCAAAAACCTAATCACATAATCGGAACTCAAGTTATAAGGAGAGGAAGGAAATTAGACTTAGATCCTGTCTGCCAGCCTAAGTAGTGCCACCTGCGGTGCCACACAAAGTCGTGAGTCAAATGCCCGATTCACGTTCATCCAACAGATTTTGGAATTCTTTCCCAAAACCTGTGTCATGGTTTCCAGGATTAGTACCTCAAGAGGAATCAGCAGACTGAACAGCATTGGGTTGGTTCCAAAACATCTAATCCGGAACTAAAGCTGGCCTAAACGCAACCCAAAAATCGAAGTGTGAGTCAAGTATTTCCAGACCGTCTACATTTGGAGCACTCAACAATTTATTTCTGAAAAGGGAACACTGAACGAAAAGATTTTCAACCGACAACATTACGACGGCATGAATTTTGAGATGACTGCTCAACGAGGAAGGTAGATTCCTGCCAACCACATCATTAAAACCGCCTCGATTACCACACCACAACACGTGTACGTCGCAAGCGGAGAGTAGGAATACACGCAATATTAATATATGCTTCAAAAAAGAAAATAAATAGAAATAGGTACATTCTACTACTGCGTGCTATGGCACGCGAACACTAACTAATAAGCAAAAGTCACACTTTGAAAGAAAAACAATTTCACATGATCTGGATGAAACATGACCATTCACTTAGTATAAAAACAATGAAAATTGATTAGCAGAAGAGATTTTTTCTCGAAGCAAACACGAAATAAACTGATTTATGAAGTAAGAGTATCAGGTAAAACTTCGGCACACATAGTGGCGTCACAGCTCGACTAACAGCATCGGGTCATGACCTCGCATACGCTTGCCCTCAATGATATCGGCACTCCACATCGCCATTCTCTCAATAACGATGGCGACTAAAACACTAACATGAGAAAGAAACACCGTATGGAGAATACAATTCCAATAAAGGTTTCATGCAAAAAATATGAACTTATACCCAACATTTTCTGTTAGAAAGTCGAAATCTTGAAGTCAAGCAATGCAATTTCAGAAGATTTCGCAGTAATAAAATATATAAACTTCTCAAAAGGATAAGGATAGGGCGCCAAACATGCTTAGAACGCAACCACGCACGACTACCGTTCTGAAGTTCTTTGCCATTTTAACACCTACTCAGCCAACTCGCTGACTAACCAAGTCTGCGCATACCACAATGATGAGTAAAACCGATGGCGATGACATAAATATCAGAAGGCTCACGAATCCACATAAATGAAGCCTTACATGTATACATTTGAGAACTTTCACACATCACTTTCACTTCCAAAACTTTCACACATGACCCAAAACAGTTTCGAGGATCACACACAAACAGGATCGACGCCAAAAGTTCATTCATAGCCTTTCTGCCAACACAGAAAGAAGCTCCACGTACATTCAAGCGGTGATGTCAAGCGGACTAACCGTAGAGTTCTGCGAGTGATGGGAGGATACGCCCAGGTCCAAGGCTATTTACACAAAACTCTGCATTATTTTCCAGAAAATTCACAGTTAGTCATCCTCCCACTTTCTGGACCCTCTGATGACTAATGCTTACGCTATGAGGGATCATAATTTTGTTGATCATTCTACTACACTGTTTGAAAAAGGAACATTACTGTCGAAAACTAGCAATTCATGATTATCTTTTCCTGCAGAATCACTTGAGATCT